CTCTGAAGTATTGCGGATTCGAGCAGGGGTTTTGCTCAATCTGGAGGGATTTGGCATTTTCAAATCGTTGCGTCTTGCAGCGGTGTTAACCTTCTCCATCAGCTCTTTGAAAGAGTCATCCCCCCGAAGTCTCTGCATATGTTGCTGGAGGATTGTGACACACTCCAGGGCTGAGCGTGCAGTTGATGTTTCGCTCTGCAGACTTCGGGCCACTGTCTCAGAAGGCCCAAAAAGTGCCTCACAGCAAACTAATCCAAAATATGTCCTTGCTTGTTTAGCCTGAGTGCACAATCCGGATATCTTAGACCGAATCTCAGCCCTAACTGACTTGTCTTGCTCCAGAGTCTTCAGGGTCTCCAGTAGTGTAGGATACGCAGAGATGGCTCTTGAAATCGCAGTGCTGCGGATGCACCATCGGGTGGCGCAAAGCCCCAGAAGATCGCACACCACATCTTCAGAGCCAAAAAGAGACCTGAACAACTGCTTACGTTTGGCTGATTCTGAAATGACCACAGACACTCCCTGAACAAAATTCAATGTGTCTGCAATGAGACTCACTTCCCTTGATACCTCTTGCAGAACGAGGTCCAAAGCATGGTTACTGCAATGCACATATAGGGACCCTGGACACTCTGCTTTTAGCTTCGCCTGAACACTATTTATACGGCCAGACATGTTGGACGCACCATCAAAACAATATCCTGCCAAACGTTCCAGAGGTATGTTTAAACGGATAAATATGTCTTTGATGCATGAAAACAATGTTTCTGCAGATGAGTCACTCGCATTATAAAATCCAAGAAAGGTGTTATGTGCCCTTAAATCCGAATCCACAAACTGCAAACAACATGAAAATTGCTCGCTCGCGCTGATATCCGTTGTTCCGTCTGCTGTGAGGCCCAAGAAAGAACAGTGGCTAGTTTGAGACATGATTTCACGTTGGATGGCATGAGCAAACATCCCAAGAATTTCGTTTTGAATCGTATCGGACATCCAATTATCTCTGCGTAACATCCATTCTCTTTCTTTCGGCAGAGCATGCGTTCTCTCCAGCATCAACTGCCAGAGGACTTCATCTCGGTGAGCGTGGCCTCTGAGTGGCAACCCTTCGCGGCCCAGGAACTTGATTGAGCAGAAAAAAAGCTCCAGCACAGCCCTACCTGTAGCCTGGTCTCGAGCGGCAATATCCGAGATCACAGCGTTGATTGGTGTTAATTTTAAGGATTCCAAAGCACGCACTGAATCCGAGTGCAAATCGGATAACTCATGTTGAGCAAATCTGTCACGAGCTTTCTTCCAGTTACTATATCCACCCGCTGTTACAAAGGAGCTTTGATTGTCGTTGGTGAGGCGCAGTAATCCTTTATCCGTGGCCTTAGCACATATAAAACAAATCACAGAGTCAGATTCTCTAATGTAATGTAGCCATTTCCATTGGTCAAACCATCCATATTGAAATGAACACTCAAACTTTTCCCGACCAAATCTCCTGCCTGGAAATTTCATCCTGGGTTGGAAAGGCTTGTCATCTTCTCTGGCACCTATCCGATGTGTCCCGACTTCAGCAGAGTCCATGTCAACGTCAACGTCCAGCCCACAAACTTCTCTGCTCGGGGATGCTGACATGCTAACGACGCTAGTCTGAAACGAGTCGGTGTCGGTGTCAGCCTTTGGCGCGGGTTCACCCGCCGTTTCATCATCATTGTTGTTTACATCCTGCTAAGAATTCCCATAACTATTTTTACTTTTCTTTACAGTTTTACTCGAAAAAAAGTCAGAGATACATTTCTGCTGCCTATTGCTAGCCATGCTAAACGAATATGAGGTGGCTGAAGCACTTCCGGGGGAGTAGGCTAGTTTTTTATG